TGTGTGGGGCAGGGGGTGGGTGTATGTGGGGCATGGGGGGCCCCCAAGCAACCTCTTTCAGGCAGGATCTCTGCCAGCCTGCAAGGGAAAACCCACCGCTTCCCATGATTTTCTCCTTTAAAGGAGAATTTATTTTTAAAGTTTGTTCACGACCCTTTCATATATTCTTGCGACCCACTTTTGAGCCGTGACCTGAGGGTTGAGAAACACTGATCTAGAGCCTCCCACAGCCTCACGCTCCAGGGTGGAGCTCAGATGGATGATCCTTATCAAGACTGCTCCCCAGCACCGAGCCAGGCCGTGGGACCGGGAGAAGGCAGCCTGTCTCCCCTGCGTGTCAGCGACCTTCTCCTGACAGCGGGGAGGAAACGGGCTTGAATGTAGAGGGGATCAAAGATGGACGGGGTGATGGATGGGTGTCAGCTGGGGCCAGGAGTCTGGAGAGGCTGGGACTTGGCCTTATGGACCCTGTCTGAATGCAATATGCACAAGGGGGCCGAAGAAAAGTTGCACCTCCTCATTTTAGCAGGCTGGACATTGATAACGTTCTTTTTACATCATGCACGTGTGTGTGTGTGTGCATGCACGTGCATCTGTGCCTCTGTATGTGTGTGCATGTATTTCTGGGTGTGTACATGTGTAGGTGTGTGCATGTATTTCTGGGTGTGTGCATGTGTGCCCATGTGTGTGCTTGTGCATGTGTGCCCATGCATGTGTGCATGTGCATGTGCACTTCTCTGGACTTTAACCAGCCTCTACAATATATTCAAGAGACAAATGGAAATCCCCAGGTGCCCGGTCGCATGGGGACCAAGCGAGACGGGGCTGCTTCATGTGCTCCCAGTGCTGCAACATGATAACGTGCGGGATTAGTCATGCTAAGGCGGCTAGCCTCCATTCTCTTGGTCAGTTTTATTTGTTCCTGATGTTGTAATTAGATAACGTCTAGCTTGCCAGCTGGAATAACACGGGGGCGGGGGGGAATCAACAATTGGGAAAGTCAAGGTTGCTTCATAATAAAGCCAAGTCTGACGTCTGACAGCGCAGTGTTTGTGCCCCCCAGTTGAAATCCAGGGGTACAGAAATGCAGATTTCAGTGCTCACCCGCACCGGGAAAGGGGGATAAAATTGAACCTCAGGGCAACATACTGGAGTCCTGAGCACAGTGATCGAGGCTCCTTGGTTATGCTTGGGATGCAGTAGTGACAATCTGGAGTCTCAGGTTTCTGCTCTGTATCTTGGCCTAATAATCCTGCCTAGATTGGGTTTTACATCCAGGAGCAGATCAGCGCTTAGCTCCTCGGATGGAGACAAATACTTGCAAACGGATCGAGGAGGCAGTGCAGGGTCCTTTTACAGAGGGAGTCGGAGCTGATGGATGGGGGTGAAGTGGATGAGGAGGGGTGAGACATGAGCAGGCGGAAAGATTTAGTGCAATGCAGAGGCTGAGGTTGAAGAGGAGCAGATGCCCCGTCCTTCCCAGGGGGCCCTGCATCAAGCTGGAAGGTGAGAAACCTGCAGCAAACCCCACACGTCACGCGGGGACTTTTCCTTCCCATGCTCAGAAGCCCTGGATCAGCTGGTCCGTGGATTTATTGCTCTATTTTGCTACCGAGAACCTGGCCCCATCACGTCCTGAGGGCAACCTCTTCCCCGCCCCTCGGGGGAGACTTACCTGCTGCTTGAAGAGACGAGCAGCCTTCTCCATTTGAGCCAAGCCCCTCTCCCGCCCCCTCCTCGCCTCTTCGATCTTCTCCTGGATCCGTCTCCTCCTCACCCGATTCAGCACCAGGACGGCTGCAGCCAAGCCACAGAGCAGGACTGAGATGGTGCGAGGGTCCACTTCCACCTCTGGCAGCAGCTGCCTCAGTTTCCCCTGGATCATGGTGAGCCCCTTCCCTTTGCCTGGGAGCTGCTGTTGCTACTGCTGTGGGCTCCAGAGAGCTACTGACAAGCGGGAGGCCGGAGGGGGATTTGCAGGGATACTCTAGTCCTGCCTGGGACTCATGAGCAAAGAGCAATGGGAAAACAGAAATGTTTACACAAGGGGAAGGGACCTCCGGGAAACCAAATCCCTGCTGTTCAGAGAGGCCCCTACAGGTCCACTTGCCCCAATGGGGCTTTCCTTCCAGGCTGGGGACAGACATGACACATAAACCAGTTTAAGGGATCAGAAACAGGTTTAAACCTGTAACAGAACAGATGTTCAGTGCACATAAACTGGTTTGAAAATGGCAGAAGCTGGTTTGAGATAAACCTGGTTGAATGAAGGATCAGATTTATGTGATTTGGGTCAAACCGGTTTATGCAATGTCTGTCCCAGGCCCCAGTGAATCAGCCCTAAATAGAAACACAGGGGTAGGACCGCTACCCAGAAAGGAGGCTAGCTCTTCCTCCCTGTGCAACACAATACGAACCACCCAGGGGCATAGGAAAGTAAGACTGGAAGGGACCTCAGGAGGTCACATCTAGTCCAGCCCCTGCTCAAGGCAGGAGCATCCTTCACTAACCCATCCTAGCTGAGTGTCTGTCCACCCTGCTCTTGAAAACTTCCTGGGATGGAGATCCCCCACCTCCCTGGGTGCCTGCTCCAATTCGGGACTGCTCTCCGAGTCAGAAAGTTCCTCATCTCCAGCCTCAGTTTCCCTTGCTGCAGCTTGAGGCCATTGCTCCTAGTCCTGTCGCCTGCAGCTACAAAGAAAAACCCATCTTCATCCTCTCTGCCATCACCCTTTAGGTACCCCGCACCTCCTGGGCCTGCCATTGCAACAGCCCTGCTAGCGAGAGTGAAGGCAAGGACGTCGGGGGTAGGAGAGCTTCCTGACAACATAGGAAGATGGATCATGCTATCATGCAGCCTGTTGATCCTGGGCTAGGATTACAAAATAGAGCAGGAAAGCAGGGGACACCATTGCCTAGGCCACAGCTGCTAGCACAAGGGCTCAGGGTCATCCAACCTGTGCGCCCAGAATGGAGGGAAGGAAAGGGGTTATACCCCCAGTCCGGGGCTCAACCTCATCTTGCTGCACCTGAATATCAGGCTTGGTTCAGAACCAGATGCTGATGGAGAGGATTTGGGTGGCTTTCAGAAAGGAAGATGGTCTGGAAAGTAGGCAGAGAGGACCTGAGGAGGCCATAAAACATGTGCTCTCTTGGTTTGAAGCTCTATGGGAACAGGAATCACGATGTGGTAGAAGTGCTGCTTGCATGTGTGGGATCTGGCTGTAGACACAGGCCCAGGGCTCCAGGAAGGCTGTTCTGCCGGGTAGGCTCCGTAGGAGCATGGAGGAATAAGGGGAAGAGAAAATGGGCTAGGATCAAGCCAAAGACAAGCATTGTGTTTAGTCTGGGGAGATCCCAGAGACACCCCAGGAGCTGCTACTCTGAAAGAAGAGTAGAGCCAAAGAGGAGCGGTGGAGGATGGGAGATGTTGCCCAGAGGACACTGGACACCCTGCGCTGGGGACACCGACGTCTAGGAAGCAACAGGACTTCAGAGGAACTTGGTTGGAAGGGCACAGACCCCCCATGGCAGACAAAGAGCAATGCCACCAGGGGCAGCTCTGGGACTGGAGGTCCACTGCAGACCCCCAGCCCAGGAAAATGCTGCCCTTGGTCCTAATCTTCCTTCTAGCCCCAGGCATCAGCGTGACTGAGCCCCGGATGAGCGGACCAGCTGTCCCAGAGCCTGAAATGTCTGCATCAACCCCAGGGCCAAGGTCTGAGCAGGGTTGTTTCCAAGGGGCTCCAAGGCAAACCTCTCGTTGGATGCAAACATGGTCCAGTGGGAGTCAGTGCCCAGCAGCCGAACCCTCCTTCAGACTACAGCTGCCCCAACTCTATCTCTAATAAAACTGAAGAGCTGCATGGATGCTCGTCTTCAGAAATGACAACAGCGCGTGCCGTCCGGGGAGAGCGAACATTGACCTGGAAGTTTCTTGCTCCCGGTCTCATACCAACACCAGATCTCTTTTTAAGCACAAATTGTCCCTTGCACCAGGACTGTAAAGAGCCCTTTTCCTAATGCAGTCCCAGCTAAGACAATGCAATCCTGGCATTCACTGACTGTTTGTACCCTCCTCCTCCTTCCTCTCCATGGACTGCCACCTTGGCGGGGCAGAGAGGCTTGCATGTACCAAGGATCCTAAGAGCATCACTGTTGGGAGTCTTGTACTCCTGGTAGGGTCACCCATGGTGGTAAGGTCAAAGGGGAGGTATCAGGTGAAGAGTAGTCCAACGCAACGCAACGCAACGCAACGCAACGCAACGCAATGCAGCGACTTTAGTGGTGGAGTGGGGGGAGGCAGAAAGCAAACTTCTTAATGTCTGCAAAGGCAGATGAAGGCAGCAGTGGAAGAATAACCCAACATGAGTCAAAGGGGGCAAGAGTGTTCACAAGCCCCCTTGGCTTGCCAAAGGCATTCAGGAACACCTGAAAGCCAAAAAGGAGGCGTGTATCTAGTGAAAGGGGTGCTATCACCAAAGAGGATTATACCTCCATCGCTCGAGTCTGTAGGGGGGCTGTTAGGAAGGCCAAGGCAGAGACAGAATTAGGGCTAGCAACAAGTATCAAGGACAACAAAAAGTCCTTTTTTTAAATACATAGTGGGTAAAAAGAGGCACCAGGCAATGTGGGGCCTCTGCAAGACATGCTTGGCAATCTAGTGGTTGTACCAGATGGTAAAGCTGACCTCTTTAACACATTCTTTGCCTCCATTTTTTGGAGCAGGGACCGGGACATCCCCCCCACTGGGATACAGGATGGACTCAGGAGAGACTGTGCCAGGCCTAGGGTCAGAGACGACCGAGTCAGGGAGGTTCTGGAGGGGCTGGACGTGTTCAAATCAGCAGGTCCAGACACTCTCCGTTGCTTCCCAGCTAGCTATCAGCCTCTCAGCCAAGTATCCATCCTTTCTAACCCCTTGCTTAAGTTTGATGCAGACGAACACAGTGGTGTTTGACCGGAACTGGGATGTGTCTGACCAGCTGAGGAAGACAAAGGGCTTTCAAGGCATTTATTGGCCATTAAGAGAGGCAGCAACTGCCATGAATGTTTCGTGGATGAGTAGGAAGGTGCTTAGTGCTACGGGTCTCGATAGGTCAGGCTTTGCCTTCTCCCGTGGGCCAGCGTCTCCACCTCTTTCATGAACCGGAGGCACAGCTCCTCTTGCCACGGCAGGGCCACACACTGCACGGCCACGGGCAGCCCCACGGCTCCTTCCACGGCCTGCAGCAGAGACACGAGTGGCATAAGGTTACCCAGGGGCTGAGGCACCACTAGCCTGATGTGAGGCATGTGGCCTCCTGAGAAGGGCAAAGGCACGGCCAGCAGGTGCTGGGTGCAGGAGCCCAGAGCTCATCTGGGGGACGTCTGATGTGTGGCTGTCAACGGAGTTATGCAATTCACACCAGCCCGGGGACTTGACTATGAGGTCTTGCTCCATTTCTAGCAAGAAAATGGAGAGATATTATATATTCATTGCCATCTCTTTTCATGCGGGCACTTCCCTTCCATTGCTCTTTGCCTCGTTTTGTAGCCCTCATAGCAGGCAATCCCAGCACTGGGAAATTCAACACCCACTTTCCCTTCCAAACCACCGAGGGAATCATTCTGACAAGGCAGGACCCCTATCACCGATGCACAGTTGTCCCCTCCAATGCAAACTGACCTCTTTCAGCCGCTTGTCCCAAAGGTCCCCATAATGCCCCCTGTAATCCTTCAGCTCTTCTTCATCAATGTGGGTGACAGTGGTGACCGGCACGACTCCAGCGGGGAAGTTTAGGACATTGTACAGATTGGTGTAGGAAGTGGCAGCTGGAAGAGATGACATGGAGATTAATCATGGATCAGGCTTAGCTCCACTTAACTTTAGAGGCATCGCCTAGGTTTACTGAACTCTCTGAACAGAGAGGATCCTGCTGGTAACAGATGACAGGGGACCTGTTTAGGCCACCTTGCAAAGAAGGCTTGCATGCCTGCCAATACCTCTGGGATAACTTCATGTTAAGAGCAAGACCAGTAGCTTGAAGTTGCAGCAAAGTAGGGTCAGACTGGATATTAGGACAAACTTTTTCATTGATAGATTCGGGAGGCAGGGGAATAGAGGCCAAGGTTAGCTGTGTACTCTCCATCACTGGAGGCATTCAAGAAGACACTGGACAACCACTGTTGGGGGATAACCTAGGTGTAGCGATGCCTTTGTTCTGCTATTGGTATTTCCCAGGCTCCTGGGCTTTGCTAGTTGCCCTTTCCCCCTTTTCTGCTGGGTCAGGGTGGTTTTATGCCTTCCTCAGAGGCGTTGGATGTTGGCTGTAGTCAAGGCTGGGGATTTTGACTGGGCTGTGCCAGTGCTCCTGCTGGGCCTTAAAGAAGGGTCCTAGTTAGAGGGTCTTGCCCCTCCATTCGGGGTCAGACCAATGCCATACTTGGGGTCAGGAAGGAAGCTTACCCCATGGTCAGACTAGCAGAAACATGGCCTCTACCTTGGATGGACTGAGTGTCTTTTAACAACCTCTTTGGCTGTTGGCTGCCGTGGTCCCCCTGCTTCATCTGCGGCAGGTTTGGGTGTGATGTCTGGTGTCATGTTGGGGCTGATGGTAGTTTTACAAAGAAGTTAGATGATGGTTTTGTGTGGGATGGTTTGGACAGGGCTGATCCTCAGGCAGGGGTTGGACTCAGTGGAGGTCCCTTCCAGCCCTACTTTTCTATGTCTTTTTTATGATATCGAGGAATTACCAAAGAGCTTTCCAGGATAGCCAGCGTTAAAGGCCGGGCCCAATGCGGGACACAAAATGACATCCAGCTGCAGCTTCCTCCATTTTGCAATGAATTCTTTATGATAAGCCTGGAGGGGAAGGGAGACAGCATTAGGAACAACTGTTGCATGTTAGTTGATGGTAGAGTCAGTCGTTCTGATATCAAAGGAGAAAGGGGGAAAAGAAAACCCAGAATTTTGATACAAATCTAAATTCTGGGCTATTCCCTGAGTCTCTCTAATGCCAGCCACAAAGTCCATCCTTGGCTGGAGTATCCTCCTTAACAGCAGTTTAATCAAACGGCAGTTTTTTATTTTAAAAAATGGTTTAAAAAAAACACGTGATTTTTTTTGATAGAAAAATACTTTAAAAAATAATTCCTGAAGAGCTCCGGTTCCTAGTAACACCAAACTTGATAATCATTTCAATGAAAATATTGAGAAGAAACAAAACAAGCCTTTGAGTCCTAATGCAAGTTTGATAAAGGTCAAGTTTCAACTTGGAAAAAACTTCGCAGTTCAAGAGTTCCCCAGCTCTGTCCCTGCAGAAGAATCCAGGTAAGAGCTAAGTAGGGTTAAGACAAGGGCTTGTGGATCACCCATGTACAACTCTATCAAACAGTTGCATGGGACCACTTCTGAACTCCAGCTGATTGGAGGAAAAGTGTCCTTCGAAGTAAAGCAATGAGGGACTTATCCTTTATTTAAACTGTTGCAATGATTTTGGTTTTAGTTCAGTCCACTGGCTTGTCTCTGCCCAACTGCCGTCTACTAGGTGGACTGTCAGGACCTGCTGAAGCATGACTGCATTTCCAAATGTAAGTGGGAGATTAGGAGGAGCTTTCACATGATGAGGGTGGTCAAACATTGGAACAGGCTGCCTGGAGAGGTTGTTGAATCTCCATCCTGGGCTGTTTTTAAGATCAGGTTGGAGAGACACCGGACTGGTCCTGCCTCGAGCAGGGGCCTGGACTAGATGGCTTTGTGATGGTCCTGCCTGCCTGGCTTTTCTAGAATTGCATGAGCTGATGGTTGAAGCTGTAATTGGAAAGACAGAGTCAGACTAGTCCAGGCACAAAGAGGACCAACAGGAGGAGCAGAGGGGTGAAAAAAATCCATTACAAGAGGAGATTAAAAAGTTGAGAGGTAACGCAATTGCTCTCTATCAATACACAATGGTGGTACACACCAGGGAAGGAGTAGAGCTATCTAGGCTCATGGACAATGCTGGCAAAAGGACAGATGGGCTGAAGCATTGTATAAATACATTTTAGTTTGGAAATGACAAAGCCTTTCCTAGCCATCGGATGAATGAGATCCTTAGACAGCCTTCCCATAGCAATTGTGGGATTGGAGGGGAATTCTAACTAGTTTGGGGATTAAGCGCGATCAGGTTATGAATGGGTTTTCTTGCTGTGGCGGAGCACCTTTGGGGGTGCTTGCCACAGAGGCGTGGAGGAGAAGGAACAGACCGGAGCAGTGTGCGGACTCTGGACCCACTCCAGGAACCCTTTAGGAGAGAAGAAGGGTCGGACGAGGAGTCAGGAGAAACTCCTGATCTTAAGCCCAGCAGCAGCAGCAGACAAGCCACCAGCAGGCAAAGCAGGCTAGAAACACCCTGGAGGCTGCAGCATCAGCAACAACAGGAACACCGGAGAAAGGTGTGCCAGAACCTATGGTACAACAGGTGGGAGTATTGGGCATGGTTGGGAGGAGGAGGAGGTGACCCCTTCGGAGAGAGCTCAGCAAGAGCCCAGGGAGGGTGTCGGGCAAGCAGAGCACGTACGTTGCCCATAAAAGGGGTGACCAACCCTACACAGGGGCACTACAGATCAATTGGAGGGGAGGACGTTGCAGGAGGGAGAGAAGTGGGGCGGACAAAGCTCACGAAAGGAACTAGGATGACAAAGTGGACAACCCTTACAGGGGTATACTAGGATTGGTCTAGTAGGGAGGAAGTTTTCCCTGGCGATATTACAGGGGAACAAAGTTACCGTGACCTCTGCCGTGGGGAAGCAAGGAAGGGAGCTTTCCTGATTCCCAGGGTAGCGACAGAGGCAGTGTCTTGTGTTTTCTCTTAAGTTGCGTTTTTGTTTCCCCAGGTGAAGGGGTTGAGAGAGAGAGAGACGGCTAGGGAACATAGCCCACAGGGCGTCAGGAGACAATTTGAACCCGAGGGCCGGAGTGCTTGGGTCAAGAGCAGGTTCCACGAGCAGGACCTCCGGTTACAGAGGACCCGTGAAGAGGGTGAGCCGAGCAGGCTCCAAGAATCACATGCTGATAGGAAGAAACCCAAGAGGTGCCATACTCATAGGAGTGAGGGGACGCGGCCGGGAACACGGCGGGATCCACCAAGGTGGCATGAGGTCGGGGTGTAGGGGTGGTGGAGCTCCGCAAGTGACCGTTGGGCAAACTGTGGGCTGCAGAGGGACCCAGGATAGTCAACCCCTGCACTGGGAACACTCAAAGTCGTGGCAGGTGAGATAGGGGAAGATGACTCCTGGAGTGACCAGCAACTCTGCCAATCATGGGAACTGGGAAGACGTACGACACCCATTGCTCGGTCTAAGGCCGCACATGACAGGGTGTTGGAAACTCGGCGGTCACACAGGAAAAGAAGCCCCAGCACCCTCCAGGTGAGGGCAGGGTGAGTGTGGCCCTGGGAAAAGGAGGGGCAGTATGAGAGTGACCGTGTGAGAGGCGGTGCAGTGAGAGAGTTCTCAGTGAGAGGGAGGAGGTATGAGTGTGGCCTGTAATAGGGTGGAAAGCGAGAGGCCTAACACGGATGAGCTGAGCCGGCCTCAGGCTCTTAGGAACATCTGCGAGGGTTGGGATGCAGTATAGGGGTGGTTGGAGCTGCATACATAGGCCTAGGAGAACAGGGCATACGAAGGGCAATTAAGACCTTAATTTTTGAACAACAAAGTGTGGCAGACGAGAAAAACACTGTGGCTAGTCAGGGAGTTCCCACTTTGCCACACTTGCTGTAGCAGGGGCCTGGACCTTTTATCCTTGATTCCCAATTTTAAGCAAGGCCAGCAGGATCAGACTGCACTCAAGTGGTGAAAGCCATGTGCTTGAAGGTGTGGGTCCTGGAGCCGATCCTCGTTCCCACATGCATGTGATTTAACAGTAGGATCCAGTGCTTGAAGCTATGTACTGCTTCAACAAGGAAAGGAAAGGATGTTACAGAGTGTTTTCCTGCCTGGGCAAAGTCCAAACAGCATATAATCTCTCCCTTTCCTGCAGTGAACTGAAGGCTTGTGCATGCATTAGATCTCTGTAATCTCATGGTTTCTTCCAGAAGGCTTCCTTCTCAATGTCTACTTTATTTCCACACAGCCTGGTGCAGGACTGAAAAATGCTGCTTAAAAACCTTGATGTGAGATCATACAAAATCTCAACGAGCACTTGCCACTTCTAAGTGAGAAAAAGCATATTACCTCCACTGCAGCATGCTGTTTCCACAGATTTTTGGCTGACCTGGAAAATTCAGGGACTTAATTAGCTGATGCCATTGCAGCCTAGAAACTAATTAAATGCACATACAAGCTCTATTAAAAGGACTATGATGATTCCAGGCCAAGCGACTACATCCATGTTATGGATCACGCCTTCCTGCAACCTGTGCAAGCATTTAAAGAGCTTTTTGGTATTTAGTGTACTTAGAAGATATATTATTGTATTGTCTAGGTGGTGGACATGGAAAGTAAAATTCCTACTGGTTACCCCCAAATTCATTCTCTCAGGTTTAGATTCCATCATATGCAAGCACACACATGGTGTAGGTCTGTGCTGCAGGAGAGATACAGAGCTGGCTTCAAAGCAAGGTCATGCAGGTGCTGGAAGGAGTCCAAGATAGCTGGACAAAGGTCATGATGCATTTGTACATGCCATATTTTTTGCCCTTGCTTGCATTGCAACAGTGTGACTGTTTGCACAAGTGGGTTTTCTGGACATTTTAAAAGTCTTTCTGGCATATTAAAGTAAAACTCCTCGGACATAGTTTAGTTTGGTGAATTAAAGCGTCACATCCATGGATTCATTGTGTGCAAATACAAAGGCATTCAAAGTTGTGTAATGCACCACTTTGTCCACCAGATGGCAGTGCAACTTTTTTGTAGTTCACCCTCTTGAATTGCTTCTGCTTTCGAATTGCTGCTGCTTTTTTTTTTTCTTGTGCCATGTGCTGGCTTCCTGCTCCCACAGCTGTGTCGGAGGGCACAGTATGTGGGACAGTGTGGGACTGTTTTGCTCTCCTGCAGCACTGGCCGGGGACCAGACTTAATTAGTTCAAAAACCTAGTACGTGCAAACACTGACGCAATGCTCCAAAATAAACCAATTTAAATTTTATAAACCTATGTAATTTAACAAGGATTAAACTCCATTACATGTACAGGTGCCCCTGGTGACCTGCTTTTACTCTGCTTCTTGGCAGGGGTAATTAGCTTGCATGTCTCTCTATGCTGCTTGCCAAGATCACTTCCATTAAGTTAGCAGCTGGTTAAGTGCTGGCACAGGGCATCTCTACGTTCTGCTGCAACTGGCAGCATAATTACCTCACGGAAAGTATCCACATGGATACATGCACAGGGTGTGGTGAAACCTACAGTGCCATTAATGAAGCCCTCCATCATCCTGAACCTTGTACATCTTTCTCACTCCTGCTATCAGATCCATCTCTCCTGGGCTTTATTCTCACACCCCAGCCTACTCAGGAACCTTCAAATAGTTTGGAATGATTAAAAAGAAAAAATAATGCAAAATGAAAGACAGGTAACATTTAGCCCAGAGAGACAGGTTGAAGGTCAGTCAACCATCATCCAATGCGTTAGATCTATGATTAAAAATCACGTAGCTAATAATTCTCCTATGCTAGAACACCTCTTGGTCTAACCATCTTTATGGGTCTCTCCCTCAGTTTTCTGTAGCAGAGATCAGCTAATGTGATTAATAAATGGCTTTGCATATTATTATTTTAAAATCCCACTTCTTCCTTGATTCCCCGCCCCCCCTCCACACACCCCATGAACTGCTACAGTTTGCAATTATCTTAAAGGAATATTAAAAAGAAATCTCAAAAAAAGAAGTCACCCGAGCACAAACAAAGACTTTGATCACTTGCTAAGTATCTCAATGGCACCATCACTTAAAAAGCTTCCTTATCCTTTATAAGAGAATGGGTTAAAAAAAAGTCTATAGTTTACATAGTTTATGCTCCTGAAATATGAAGAGTGCCCAACAAGGTAAAAAAGACCTGGTGGGGATTCAGGAAACTCGATTCTATTCTCAGGTTCGCTGCTAGAGGATTCTGCGCCACTTCCTGTTGCCTCAGTTTCTCCAACTGATTTCCCGTATGAAGTACTTTGAAATCAGCTGATTAAACACACTCTACAAGAGGCAGGTATGAATGTTATAGTGAGATGGGTGCAATGCTTTTGGCATAGGAGTAAGAGAGAAGCAATGGGCATGTCCACACTGCTAGCATGCAGGTTCATACATGCTGACTATCTATATGGGACACCTCCAGGCTTGCTGCCCTGAAGCTCTGCTGAACTTCTGGGGCTAAAGTCAAGCCTGCTTCTCAACTATCTCCTGCCTGTAACATGTCTGGAAATCACCTAGCCTCAAACACATTAAGTCAGCCCGCAGCAACCCCACAACTCCACGTTCCTGACTTCCAGCCCTTCTGCACCCCACTTCCTATCTGTATTGCTTGGAATTAGAGCCAAGCATAGGAGAGACGAGCAGTGGGTGAGCTGATTCGTAGAAAGGTGCTACTGGACGAAGTATAGTGGAAGATACAGAGACAAGGAAGGGCAGCTCAGATAGCTCAGGCTGGTTTAAGGTTGACCCTGAAGGTCAGCTCTAAATAGGGGTGTGAGAATACCTATTTCTATGTAAAATATCTGGTATGGCCGTTCCATTCAGCCAGAATAAAAGCATGAAGGCAATTTAAAATCCCCCTAATTCAACTGGAAAGACCTTTGCTGATTTCAAGAGAGGTGGGTCAAGCATTAATTATAGTGAAGCCCTATATTTCCAGAGCCTGGTCTAAAGCCCACTGACCTCAAGTGGAGTCTTTCAATTAGCTTCAATGGGCTTTAAATCCACACACTGGAGCATGAAATATAATACCCTAAGGACTATGCGTGAGTGCTTAAATGTCCTGCTTAGACACTAGCTAAGAAGTGGGTGTGAAGCACCTGGGATACAAATTAAAATCAGGCATCCCACTGTGGTACAGAAAAGTCCTATCTCTTGCAGGGACCATGGGGAGACACAGAAAGGCGTATCCAGGTACAAACATATCTGCAGACATTGCTAAGATAATAGCAAGCCTAGCCTGGTACAGGAGAGGCTGAACTCAGGGTGCAAACCAGGGAGCATTAAATCCCGTGAGGTCACATGAGCACGGCTACAAATCTGATAACCAAGTTCCTCAAATGCACATCTGGGGGAGCCCGGTCTTCCTTCCCATTGCACATACAGCTCCAAAAGGACCCTCCCAATCTGGAGCAAACTTTACCGTTTGCTGCTGATGAGATTTGCACAGAGCCACTTACCCAACTCCACACAGCGCGTTCAGATCTCTGGCGATTCGCGGATACTTAGAAGGGAAAACAAAATTCGGGATTAGTCGATAGCAGAACAGTCAAGATCTGGCAAAGTCCTCTAAGCAGGGGTATTCATTCAACAGCATGCTTGAGTGAAAGAAACCGTAGCTTGAATAGGAGAGAAAAACCCTCCAAGGAAACTCAAGGCTGGACGAGGCCCAACGATGCTCATCTTGGGTGGTCCAAGGACTGGCCTATTCCATGCCAGGGGCACGTTGCAGAGAGGATGGGAGTGCGAATCCCACACCCGCTGGAGTCCATAAGGCTGTTCTGGATTTGTTCCCCCCTGTTGGGTCTAAGAGCAAGGGGTTCACACGCAACCTTCAGACTCTGGAGCACCGTAGCAAACCTGGGTCGACCAGGCACGATCAGTCCTGGCCTCCCTGACAGGACATGGTCTGAGCAGACCTGGGCATGGAGCGGCTTCCATTTGTCCATTTGAAGAAGCACTAAGTCAAAGAAAAGTCCCCTCGTACACTCTTGTACTACGCTCTGTACTCTTCCACTGAGCCAACATGAATAGGGCAACTGCCTGGCAAAGGCAGAACAGCCTCCTGTGATGTCCAGAGTTTCCACTCTGCTCATTTATTTGGCTGCATTTCAGGGTCGCTTTCTCCAAGAGAACTAATTAACTCGTCAGCGTGTAGTCCAAGCAGCAGTGTTCACGAGGACTGCTGAAAGACCGTAAACATGTCATCCAGGCCCAGTGGGACCAGATCGGACTGAAGGGAAGCCCTCTATCCCCAAACTGGCACAAAAGGGAGCTTGCTTTTCTGGACAGGGCCTCGGAATATAGAGCACAAGCTCACCAGGCTCTTCTCAAGAGAATCACTTTATTGGAAAGCTAAAGGTAAGTTTAACTCGCATTTGGATCAGGCAATGGAAACGCAAACACACACTCACGCCTGGGAAGATGGGTGTAGGCCGGACCCCATGAACCCTGAGATCTTGTTGAGTTTTCCAAATAGCTCAGGTCCATTATTCCCCACTGCCCCAGGTTTACAATCATTGGGTGCATCCCCATTATTGGGAATGTGCATTTCCTTGGGGACAAACAGCAGTGGCACAAGATGTCCCTAGGAAATGCCTGTGCACTCTCGCCCTGGCGCGTGGTACATTGCCCGGGGTAGGAGGCTGGCTCAGCATCTGGGCAGCTTTACCTGGGTCCTGAGGGCCTTCAGGGGCTGCAGCTGTGGCAATCTGGTAGCTTAAAACCTGGCCGGCAGCTGGAGCATGGCTCCGGTTTCCAGCAGCGCGTGCTGCCACCACATGTGCCACTCTGCTTTTTTAAGGCTCAGGTTTTTTTGACACCGTGATCTCCCAGTGTCCAAAAAAACCACCCCATGCTGCTAATTTGCATGTGCAGTGTTGCAGATGGGCCTGCGGTACTGCATACCACACATCTACACTTGTCTGGATGCACCCATTCTGTGTAAACCACACAAACTTCTTAGTACCATGCATGTATCTACAACCCGATTGGGTATGCGTTAATGAAAGGGGTTGATCATGAAGACCACCCCCCTCCCCAGCTAAGCAAAGAGTTTATGATAAGCACGTAACAACTGTATAACTGGGATGGCCGCAAGTGGCATCAGTTGGGTTTCCAGCTCTTGGCAATGCGTGCTATTCCTTAGGGTTATGCATTTCAATTGCTTGGTTTGTGTGACTGTCGTCAAACACTTGAATCAGTGCTTTCTTGTTCACATCAGCAAAAACGTGGAATTTGGCCTTCCAAGCCTGTCTCTATGCAAGGTTACCCAAAGTTTGCTCCAAATGTTATATAATGGAGGATGTATACAAGATGGAGGCCTCTAATGTGTTCCTTCCGCTGATTAGTGACCAGTCAACCTTCAGCTGATTGAAGTCACTGAAGCAATGCTGATTTCTATGTATCAACTCCATGCCATGGATAGTACCCATTTAAACAAGAGGAATACCCATTTCTCCAACTCTTTCCTGCCACATCTACCCACTTCCCTGCATGTTTTAAATCCCAGGTCCTATTTATATTCTATTCTGCAGGCATCAGGATGCTGCTCCACCTAGTTAAATAGCTTTCAACAAATAAAGAAATGTGACAGTCGTCAGGACGAAACTCTATGCCTTTTTGTTAGCCATGGGTATGAACCAGTGTCCTCAAGGCCTTAGGATGTCTGAGGTCAAGATGTGGTATTGCATATTTGCTTTTGATCTTGAGTTGCCAAGAAAAGAAGCCCCTTGTGAAACACTGAGACTTGCTTTTGACTTTTGTGACTAAATTTTGAATGTAGTGGAGCTCTTGGTGTTCAGCACGAATGAAGCGCACCGCTAGTGCTGGTGCTGCAAGGTTTGCAAGCCTTGCTTTATTACCCTGGAGTGGCTGTGCTGCTTGATGAGAAGCTGGCTATGCATCTGAAAGCACATACATTGCAGTGCAGTGTATCAGGCTGCCGTGCCCCAGGTCACAGTTGATCCTGCTCCAAAGATGATGTTTGCTTATACCCTAACGGGAATACAATGTATTTGCCCCCAGGGCCTATGGTTGCCTGATGTTCATTGCTCACAGGGGTAAGAAAGAGGCACATGATATGGGTGAAATTCAGCTGTCTGGGCAATTCAGCAAATTGTGCCCTTTATACCAACCACTAAACCAACAACATAAAGCAGGAGAGCATCCCCAAATAGAGCATCTTCTTTCTTCATGGATGACCATGCCTCCCCCCTGCCTGTAACTGTGTGAGCATCATGAGGAGCACTGGAAGAGGATAAATGTGGAGGGACTTACCACTGGCTTCAGGAGGAGAGCCCCGATCCTCTTCACCACAACAGGGAGCCTGTAAGTGTTAACCTGAGACTTCAGGTTTGGATCCACGATATCCCCTTTCCTGGAAGGCCATTAAAAGAGGAGGCTGTCAGACCAGTCCAACAGCTTCAAACTCAGGCTTTTCTCCTGCCCAAAATGTTAGCAGCTTTAAATAATAAGAAGACAGCTTCTGCATGCACTGGCTTAAGGCAAGCCCCTGGGCACAGCATAAAGTATTACTCTGGAGTATCTATGGCCTGGGTAATTCTCTGCAAAAGGTATAAGGCCAGGAAGGCTTTATTTCCCATATTCATATCAACATTTTTTTAATGGAATATTGTACTTGTCCATGGACTTTGCTTATGTGGGCATTAGTTTGTGGGCAGCTAATCATTTACCAACATGTTCCCAGTTGCTAGAGCTTCTGGGCGTCTTACAATGATTATTGAACACCACCTCCTAATTCCCAGTTATTCCAGCAGTCTCTTCCACATGTTACAAATGGAGGCACTGAGAGATTAAGAAACTCATCCAAGGCCACATAAAGAATCATAGAAAATGGGGGTTGGAAGGGACCTCAGGAGGTCACATCTAGTCTATGGACTGCTCCATAGTCCTAGTCTATAGTCCTCTGGTGCATAGTCCTGCTCAAAGCAGGACCATCGCCAACTAGAGATCACCCCAGCCAAGAATTTATGGCAGAACCAGGACCGTAGACATCAATCTCTGTACCTTATCTTGACAATTGTTAACTAATAGGAAAGCTGAAGCTTACACAACCCAGGAAGAAACTCATGGAGGCTGTACATCTTCAGCAAAGGATTTATCCCTAGTACAGAACATCCTACCATCCAAGAGCAGAACAGCTTTGGAGATGCACCAGAAGCCACTACCCCATGCTCTGGAGGGTATTGTGAGTGCCAGCGAAGTAGAGAAGATGGTCCTTCCTTAAAGAAATGATGAGAATCCTGATTGTCTACATGATGCTTTGATGGTACATGATCAGGCATTTTGGAAATGCAAATAACTACTCAGGCTAGTGCATTCTGGCAGGTATGACAGACAAACAGTCTGGTTAGTCTTAAACAGTGGTCCCCAACCCATGGCTTGAGGGCAACGCGTTGCCTGTGAGAGCTTCCAACACTGCTCATGACAGCAGGAAATGCTACGTTGCATGGATCCATGTTTCTTCAGGTTGAAAAAGGATGGCAGAGAATGAGGCTACCTGCTGTACTTTATGCACTATTTATGATGATGGGGGAAACAAAGGCTGGGGATCTCGGTCCAACAGAATAGCTCTCATTGAAAAGAGCAACTACAGTAGGAATAGTACAGCCTGTTTGATCTTTAGCTTCACATGGATTGCCCCAAGCATGTCATATTTAGGGCAGTGAAAATGGTTGGGGGGCTGGGGCATGGTTCCAGGTAATGGGGCCCCCGCAGGACACGTTAGGAAATTTGGTCGTCACACCAGACGATAAA